TGTTTTTCTTTTTTTTTTTGTAATTTTATATCAACTGAATTTGCTAAAGTTTTTTACTTTTTTACTGTATTCTTCGATGCCACACGTGCAATCGTTTGCTAATAATATTACTCTATAATTAAACAACATTTGTTGTTGTATTTGCTGAGACTTTGTGATTATAACTTATTTCGCTATGTGATTTATGTACCCCTTCCTAACCTATTAGTATTAAAGACTCTAAAGTATATGCTTATTTAGAAAATAAACATTTACATATGGCATAAGCATTATTTGATTTTTTCAAAAATCTAAAGAGTCAAAGACGATGATTCAAAATGAAATAAGACACTTAGTTTTATAATAAGTTTTGAATACTTTTTAATCCCATAAACTGTATGAAGTTTAACTGTATATACAAAGTGTAACTCATTTGTATAATCAAAATAATTAAACATCCTCCTGAAATCATGTTTTGGTCGGTTATTATTGAAAAAGGCCTTGGTCATTGTACATTGTGGATAGAATATTGAAACAGGACCAATACAAAAGTCATTAAAACCTGTTTTTTTTCTCAATTAAAGAAATAGTTTCCAAATAAGCAGAATAAAATATTTATGCAAGATGGAGCCCCCATGCCACATTACAAAATCTATTAAAAAATTATTGGTGTCTCTAAAAATAAATGGGTAGGGTGCTTTTCTTATATTCTTTCCTCTTTTACTCTACTTTAGTGCTGCGTACATTGATTGGACAATGCCAAAAATAAAATAAAACACTGTCTGCAACATTTATCAAAAATGAATATGAAATCAACACAAAATTAAAAGTAGTTTCACAATGACATGGCAAACTAAACTCCAATTTCCAAAGATATATTAAGAATTATATATTTTTATATTATTTTAATCAGTGTATATTAATTAATTATTATTAAGAATTTTACATTTGATTTAAACCTTAGTATATCATTGCTGCTTTGATTTTAAGAGTATCCTTTTGAATATTTCTTTTTTACTGGCTTGAAAGGTTTTTAAAGTAATTATAGTGATATACCCTTCAATTTGGACTTGAAGGGTTGTTTATATACTTATTTAAATAAAGACTCTGCAAGGGAAAACTTTTGATCCTTTTTCTTTTGTCTATAAATTTATTTCAAGTTACAAATATAGTTGATGCAATAACCTAATTCAGTTAAAATAAATTACCTAACAAAAAAAGAAAAAAGAATAACTTAGAACTTACTGTAATTCACCGTAAAATAAACGGCTTCTCGATACTTTGAATAAACTTTGTTGACAAAGCATACATACTACTTAAAGTAAAGTTTGCAGCAAGACTTAATAATTTATTTGAATTTTCAGCCAAAAAAGGCAAAACTTTTAAATAAACAAAACTTTTTAACTTTTAGGCATTTGCAGGTGTTAAATCAAATTTTGTCAATTTTTTTAATTGTATTTTTTTTCTTACTTTTTTATTTAATACTTACTTGGAAGGCATTGCAAAAATTATTTGCAAACATTGAGAAGTGAATTTTATAAGCAAATTGCCGAAAAAATCCCTAAAATCACTGGTAAACCCCAATTTTCAAGTTTTTTTCAAAAGACATTTTCACAGTTATGCAATTGCGTCGTTATACCAGTATGGGCAGTTTTATTTCAAGTTTCACATAATTAATAAATTAGAATTTCTTATGATACTTTTCTATTAGTATTTAATTTAATTGATTTTCAATAATTTTTAGAATTATTATTAAAATTTAATTTAGCAAACTTTATTTGGAGAATGGGATTTCTTTCATCTTTAAATTGGAAATTTTAATTTTATGAGCATTTGGGAATCCTGCATTTGACGGGACCCCACAGGACTAGTTTACATCCTGATATATGTATTCAACATAAAATAAATTATATTAAAAAAAAATTTTTACCATTCAAAACTCCAATCATTTTGCCAACAAAAGTTAGCAAAATTATTTTAGTTTTAAAACATTGCATTGAAAAAACAATTAAAACCATGGAGCTTACTAAGAACTTGGCAAAGACTAAATAAGAGTAGTTTTCTGTAATGAAACTTTACAAAAATTTTAAAAGACTTCATCTCACAACATACTCAAACTATGGTTAGTTTTAAATAAAAAAGTTCAATAAAATGCCTTTGGAATATTAATTTAACTAAACACTTAAAGCAATTTTTGAATAATTTATGATAAATGTTCTTAGTGAGATGCGTATAAAGCTCATTCAATCAATTACCAAGAGAACACTTAAATTTCTAAAAACTCTACAACTTTTTTCTAAAATTTTTCGTAACAAATATAATCTTTTATGTTTAATTTTTTTAAATAACTTTTTATAATTTATTTGTATTTATTTTATTGAAAAAAAAGGGATGTAACTACTATTATGTCTTAAACATATCCACTTTTTTTCAAGTTATTATGTTAACTTATATATTTTTAATAAAAGCAATTCTAATTATAAATACCTGTTTTATCATCATAATCATCATCAATTTTTATGATTTGTTCTTCATTAAAAGCTATAAATAATTAATAAATCATTATCAAATGGCTTTTTAAAAAAAATTCCAACAATTAGTTGGTATTAAATGCAACACTAGATAAAAACACAACTTATGAGTAAAATGTTATAATTTAGATGAAAGAACAACCTAAAATTACTTTATAGAAAGTTATCTAAAAATAATAAACAAAACTACCTTCAGAAACAGAAAAATCTAAATCATTATTTTCTGTTAGTGGCTCTGGTTTAATTTTGGTAGAATTCTAAAAATTAAAAATAACTATTAACATTAATGATCTCACAGAACTATTTTGAAACAAAACTTTTTCATGGAACAATTGTAATGCTTTATAATAAATTTTACAATTTTCATAAACACTCGTAATTTACTAAACTTATTTTAAATTCTTAATAAGATTAATTTATCTTCTTTAAAAAAAACATGTAAATGCCAAGTTTGTAATTATTTAAGCTTTTAGCACTTGAATAATTAAAAGACATGAAGTTTAATCAATTTGATTTGAATATATTAAATTGTTAAAAATTAACTTGTTAACATGTTTTGAAACTAGAAAAACAAACATTTGAAAAAAAGACTTTGAGATTAGAACTTAATCATATTATTTTAATAACTGCAATAATGAATAAAAATTCATATCTATGATAACACAGAAGAAAAAAAATGTAAACAAAATATAAATATACTAACTTGAAGTATAATAAGAAGTATATTTTTTAAAACATTTAGATCATAAGATTGGTGCATTAGCATTTTTTTAAAATTTGATTGAAATGATAAACTCAATTCCTTAGAAATATACTTTTTACCAAGAGCCTTTGCAACTAACATATTAACCAATGAAGCTATCTGTTTAGTAAAACTGATGACACCAGTAAAATCATTAATAGTAAGTTTTAATAGCAAATCTGGTAGCCCATCAATAAATGGCAGAAGTATCCAAAAAAAATTCATGTTTAAAGTGAAACTGAAAATTTCAACAATATTTTTATAAGCAAGATGATACAGCAAGTCAGACACTTTGCATTTATCTGTAAAAAAAAAATTAAATTAAAAAAATAAAAATTTAAAATATTGTCTAAGTGTAAGTATGTATGTATGTATGTATGCATGCATGTATGTATGTATGTATGTATGTATGTATGTATGTATGTATGTATGTATGTATGTATGTATGTATGTATGTATGTATGTATGTATGTATGTATGTAAGTATGTATGTATGTATGTATGTATGTATGTATGTATGTATGTATGTATGTATGTATGTATGTATGTATGTATGTATTTCTATATCTATATCTATATATCTATATCTGTATATCTATATGTATAAATATATATATATATATATATATATATATATATATATATATATATATATATATATCAGCGTGGAAAATAACTGGCGGTCAACAGTCAATGACCGCCCGAAATGACGGAAGTTGCTGTTTTGACCTCCCAAAAAGAATTCTAGCCGGTCAAGGTTGACCGGTTGAAAAATCAGAAAAATCTTTTGTTAAACCCAATTTTAAGTTTTTTAGATTTCATAACACCATAAAACTTTGATAAAGCGTCTAAAACAATTTTATTACTTACATGCTACTTAAAAAGTAGAAATAATTAATAAAATTGCTTTTATTCACTTCGTTAGAACGAAGCGAATTAAAATTCGCATCGCTGCAACGTGAAATTTGTCATCATTATTTAATACTCGCTAATGCTTCAACGAGTATTATATATGGCGGAAACTATATATATTAATTTTTTTGCTTCAGTTATTGAGATCAATTTTATTGTGTTTTTTTCCTTAACTGATTTAAGTTCTTATTTTATTATTATTTTAATAATAATATAATATACAACAATTGATGATTTTAACTAAGCTTAGCTAAAATCGATTAACCAAAAAACGGCTAAATAATTTAATTCGGATATGCACAGATGAAACAAACAGTGACGAATTTGATGTAAATCCTGCCATTGAGTTATAGGCCGAAGATGCGTTGCGAAGGCCTACACAAGAAAACACAAAAATTTATTCAAAAAAAGAAAAGAAAAAAACTATAAAAACATTAGTTGATTTGGAATCGTCATCAGACGAAACCTTAGATTTAAAATTGTCTTCCGAAGAAACTTTAGATTATGAATCAGACAAAATGTATCTTTAAAAATATATTTTTAAGTTACAAAAAAACTGTCTGAAAAGAAACATGCATTCTTTAATTTTAAATCAAGTCTTTATTTTATTTACATGTCATGAAGAATAATTACTGAAATAAAAATTTTAACAAAGAGAAAAAAAAAAAATTTGACTGTCAGTTTTATCAGTTAGCCGGTCAATCTGACCGCTCGCCTTTGATTTCTTATTTTCCACGATGATATATATATATATATATATATATATATATATATATATATATATATATATATATATATATATATATATATATATATATATATATATATATAAGGCTTGGTTGGGTAGCGGGAGCGATCGCTCTTGAATACTGACCACGGAAATTATATTTAGTTGCGAAAAACTGGCCAGGTATTTTAGTCATCTTGAGAACATTTAAGTTTATGTACAAAACACAAATTTTTTGTTTTACAGACATACATGGAAACATAAAAAACTTGAACGTTTACAAAACATCTTGGTGCGAAAGAATTAAAAGAATATTCGCAAACACTAAAAACCCGCCAAATTAATGAACAAACAAATTCTATTGGTCCAAAAAATACGCTAAGCGAAATAAAGTTCTAGAATATGCTGTTGAAATGTTTTAAAAATCGTAATATTCACGATTTGTTACGTTTTGAGATTTCTAGCATAAATTGTTTTAAGAAAATATATTTGTTTACATAAATAAATGTTTTAAATATTTATTAATTAAATTGTCAAAATTTTAAAAGTTTACTATAAATTATAAATATTTAAAAAGTATCTATTCTTTATGTAAATGTAATATTTTGTATCTGCTTTTTTATCGTAATGCATCTTTTAAACAATTTTTATGATTTAAACAAAGACTTACAAAAAAAGTTATAATCATTAAAGTTAATAAAACTAATTATGTAACAAACATATAAGAAGTTTCTGGTTACTAAACACAAACAACACATTCAAAGTAACTCGTGAATGAACAAGCACCAAGCTTGAGGTAACGACAGAACACAAATATATATTGCAAATAATTAGATATAAAGAAAAGTTTCTAGATAATGGTTTAATAACTCTAATTATTTTCGCTTAAGCTGCCATTCTTAAAACTTGTTAAATTTTTTTCTGCTTTAAATACTAATTAAAATTAAAAAGCCCACTCACTAAACATCATTAGCGATATTGTGAAGCAGTTTCCCTTCCTTGTCATAAAGTATTTTTAACCTTATTAGTTGATTTCTATCTTTTTAATTTAATTTCTATAGTAATTCAATGATTTAATTATTTTATTTGTTTATCTTACTAAGAAGAATTGCTTCAAATATGTTAAACTCTTAAAACTACGCGAAACATAAAATAGGCATTAAAAAAATTAACTTTCTTATTTATATAATAATTTAGCTTAAATAAAACTAAAACTTGCAAACTTTGTTTAATAAAGAATATTTATTTCCTTTTTAAACAATCGTAAGATGTTACTTTATATAAAAAACATCAACTAATTTTATAAAAAAAATTATAAAAGAACAATGTTTCAAAAACATTTGCTCTAAACATAATTTATTTAATTTTAAGCTTTTTTGCGTTTAAAGATATTTTATTTGCCTAATTTTTTTTTTTGTAATTGTCTCTCATCAGTCCAATTAACCTTTTGCGCTTTTCGCAACTAAATATTTTTACGTGGTCAGCAATCGAGAGCGATTGCTCCCGCTTCCCGCCAAACCTGATATATATATATATATATATATATACACACACACACACATATATATATGCATGTACGTATGTATGATATATATATATATACAGGGATGTACACTCGTGGTTGCCCGATGGCACCAGGCGACCGAATATTGTGAAGGGCGACTCAAAAAATTTTTTTTATGCAATCAAGTCGCCCGAATGGTCGACTATTGATTTTTATCGGCAGTTCTATTTTTTTGTGTGTGTAATTTAAGAGATTTAAAATATGCAAAGAAACTAATGCAATAAGTAACTAAAATAATAAAACTCTATTTTAAAAGTCATAATGCTAAAGTTAGTTTACCGCATCTTCTATTGTTAATTAGAAAATACAAGTAAAATAAAAACAAACAGGTTTTTTTGTTTAAACATTCTTTTTTTTTTATTTAATTAAATTTTAGAGATATGTATTAAAATTTAGAGATATATATAATTCTACATAAACTGAAAAAAAAAAAAAAAAAATTTAAAGAAATGACTAATGACGGCAATCTATATTCTTGATGTGTGTAGAGCAATGACAATTTTTTCAGAGGCATTAGGAAGGTTTTTTCAGAGTATTAATTCACCACAAACAAAAGTTATAAGCTTTATAAATAAACAACAAAAAAAGTATAAATAATTAGGTAATATGTGAGTTTATTGTAATATATACTAATATTATTGTTATTAAACCTTTTAGAAGAATAAACTTTGCAGTAATTAACATTAAATAATCAAATGTTTACAAAAGATAAAAACTTCGCTATAAATAGATTTTGTCGCGCTCTTTTTTGAACTATTTAATTAAAAGTCTATTAAAATTTTCTTGAAAGAACAAATTCATTCGAATTTTATAATTATATTTTGTTGCTCTCATACTTAGAGTTTTTTCAGAATTAAAAACTTTTTCTAAATTAATATTTTTATTGATTAAAATTTAACGTTTATTAATTAAAATTTAATTTTTCAAAATAAAATATAAAAATTATTGTTATTTGTATATTGATAAAATGCATAATTTGTCGCTGTAAATTATATATTGAATTAACTACTAAATTCAAATATTTAATTACACATATAACTTAACTTTATAGTATTTAATAAAAATACACTATTGCTTTTCAAATTAAAACGTTAATGTAACAAATAATAAATTGTTTACTTAGAAATTTAAGAATATAGCAATAATAACATTGTTTATGTTTTTATTAGGTTAGCACAAAAAAATATGTTTTAACGTATGAAGTTAAGTTTTCGCTCGAGCATGCCTTTTGCAATTTAGAAAGATTCGAAGAAAATCCAGACTCTGGTTTTTACTCGAAGAAGCGCTCGATATATGGGATTGTAAATTTGCATGAAGTGATAAAATATGAAGATTGATTTTTTATTGCTACAACCATGCTAAAGTGCATTTTGAAACGATGTTCAAATGTATCAGATGTCTTTGCGGAGGCGGACGAGTTGCTTAACACAGTTGAATGGACGGAGAGCGACTTTTTCACGGCTGAAAACAACAAAAAGTTACTTAAAAACATGCTAGACAATAACATAAAAGCCCTTATTAACGACGATATGCTTTGCAACTACTCGAATATAAACTAGTAGATGTTGGAAATATTTTATCAGAGTGGATAATATTGAAGAAAATAAAGGCAACTTGGACAAGTGCAAGTTCAAAATCATTTCCACCGCTATCTTGGTCAAAAATAACGACTAATATCAAACCAGATAGATTCGCTAATCATTTTTCTCTGATTGATTTTTTATTTTGCCATGGCTTAAGTTCGGCAGACGCGGAAAAAGGCTTTAGCGCAATAAAAAAAAAATTAAATCAATTCAAAGAACACAAGTCAGTAACAAGTTATTAACAATGCGATTGCGCATCAAGATTGATGGTCCAGAAATGGAATTATACGATCCAACAAAAGCCATTAAACACTGGCTTTTAAAGCCATCACAAAAAAATAAAACTAGCATCAATCAAAAAAGCTTTACATGGACAACAAAACTCTAGTTGTGTCAGTTAAAAAGTCAAAGAAAATACAGATTTTTGCTAGTAGCGATGATGATAGTGATAGAGCTGTAACAATTGATGACAATATATAATAACTTTGAATCTTGAATGTTTTTTACCTTTCAAAATATAAATAGTTTTTCTTGTAACAAACAAGATCGTAATAATTACAATGTACAAATACTTTAAAACCCTTCGCTACATTAAAAGCAAAGGGTTTTAAAGTATTTGTACATTGTTTTTTATATTTGTCAATAGTTTTTTGTTGTAATCGAATGTCATAAAAGGAACGCTCAAATAAAGTTTAAAAATATAATGGCATGTGTTTTTTTTTGAAAGTAGAAAAGTGAATTTTATCAATAGTTTTCAATATTACTTTTGCGCATATTGTTTCTAGTGTACATTTAGCCATATAACAAAAAATGATTAAAACATGCGAGAACTTCGCTAAGTGGAAATTTTTTTAAAAAAATGGCAACGGACGACTCAAAACGTTGGCGGGCGACCAAAATTAACAAACTGGTTAGTTTCAGTCGCCCTTCTGGCGACTGACCAAAAGTCCGAGTGTACACCCCTAATATATATACATAAATATATACATGCATGTACGTATGTATGATATATATATATATATATATATATATATATATATATATATATATATATATATATATATATATATATATATATATATATATATATCAAGAGCCAAAATAACATGTACAAAAGAAATAAATATTACCCTATAAGTTTTAATGCTTATATTAGTATGACACATAGTATTTAAAATGTCATTTAAATTATATATATATATTTGAACATATTTTAAAGAAAAACACAATTTTTTTAAATCCTGATATGTTTCATAGTTAACATACTACATTTTCAAAAGATAAAATTACAATTTAAAACTCTGAATATAAATATAAAATTAAAATTTGAAGACATTACAGAGAAATATTAACAGACAAATAGAATTGTTAAAAACAATAAAAATTATATTAAATATTATGATGAATATATACTAAAATTTAAATATGATATAAAATTTAAATATGTTATAAAATTTAATATATGTTAAAAACAATAAAAATTATATTAAATATTATGATGAATATATACTGAAAATAGCAAAAAAAAATTATAAGTAAAAAAAAAACAAAAAACTAGATTGACAAATTTATACTATAATGAACAGTTTGTTTATTTAAAGATGGGTTTTCCCATTTAATATGGAGTGCTTCTTTAATTTTCAATTTGTTTTTGTTAGAAGTATATATATATATATATATATATACATATATATATATATATATATATATATATATATATATATATATATATATATATATATATATATATATATATATATATATATATATATATATATATGGAACGGGAGATAATAAATATGGAGTTAAAGCCCCATAACATATATAACATAGACATATTTTGCTATATTTGCATGTATTTTGGTATGATTCTATTGCAATAACATTAATTTTTCTGATACGCTTTTGTTACAATCCTCTCCCCAACCCACACACACACACATACATAGACTCCTTTTTTATTTTAAATGTTATCTAAATAAAGACTAAACTACTTTAAAAAACCACAAGTTTAATGATGTTATCTGTTAATATTACTTGTTATATTAATATTATATGTTCTCTTATAAGAAAGTTTTTTTTTCATATTTCTTTATATTTTCTACTTTTTTATTTTCATTATAAAGGGAAAAACAGATTCAACTGTTGACTATCTGATTTTACTTATTTAAGGGGTAAACAGATTCTATCTGTTGACCAGCCTTGCACCCCTTCCTTATCTATTAGGCTGGCGCAGATTATAATATATTGTTTCCAGTTTAAGATGTTGAATGCTGGATCTTCTGAACGCATGGTTTTTGCTAGTGTCTGTTTTTATGACTGGCAATTCATTCTGTTGTCTCCTAATGAGGGTACAGCTCTAAAACTCAGTTTTATGGCTCTGAGGCTGGCTGGTAGTCAGCTTTCCCAAACTCTGTGGTAGCTCTCAGAGAGGCTGATTCCATCAACAGCAAAAATATCAGAATAAAATATTAGAGTACTAACAGTGCCATGTTGAGCATAGATGGTGTTCAAACTTTTGGTGTGCTTTGTCAAGGCCACATTTGGAGCCCTTTGTTGCAACTTAGGGTTTATTAATAATAATAAGGTGATTGCTTCAACTATTAAATAGTGTACTGAGTACTATCTATGCTTTGAATCCAGTTCTTTAACACATTAAAAAAAGACCAAAGTATCTAAAACTATAAAACACAAAAAACCATTGTCATCACCAAGTTCTCTGAACCTATCATTCATTAACATTTGTGGTCTTTGAAGTAACTTTTCTTCTGTTGAGCCTTATCTATTGCATAGTTCACCAAAACGACTTGTTCTTTGTGAGACTAATTTGAGTTCAGCTGTCTAATCTTGTGATCTTAGTGTTGAATACTTACTTTAAATTGTAAAACTGTAATAATCACATGCTTGGCCTGGGCATTTACACTCGTAACAATTCACTCATTTGTCGGGAAACTAGGTTTGAACCCACAGATTATTCTTTTATGTGCTTTCGTTTAGCACCACTTCACTCTATCACCTTTCTCTTTGTTCTATACCGCTCTCCTTCATCTCAAGACTGCACTCTTTTTGATGTTATTTATGATCAAATTGACCAGAACCTCTCTTTTTTCAACCTCTCTTAATTTTCATTGTAATTTACCTAAATTACAATGAAAACTAAGAGTTCTAATTTTGTAAAAAACTATGAATTCTAATTTTATTAAAATAATATTATATATTGGCATTCAAAAATGACATTTAAAATAATACATTTCTTGCTTCTTAAAAATGCAACTTTCTCTATTGAGAAAGTTGCATTTTTAAAAACTTGTTTACTACTTTTTTTATGGTCTCTTGTGTCCAGGAGTTCTAAAAATGTTGAGTAACTTATGATTACTAATAAGAAAAAGAATCATAAGCAAAAATCATTTAATGATTTGAAACCTATTATTTTTTAGGTGGAAGATCTGGAGTCCCTTGCAAAAAGTAAGTTTTGTGAATCTTCATAAGATTTGAGTGTACTTAAAAGTCTTTATCTCAAAAGTAGTTCATAAGTATCTTCTTATTTTTGGAACTCCAGAATATCAAAAATCAGAAAGAAACAATTTGAGGCTAAGAAATCTACATCAACTCAACATGTCTACATAAATACCATACACAAATTTGACACATTTTATGTTTAATTTTTGCTAATAAAAAATATTTTTTATAATAGTGTGTAATAATGGAATTTTAAACAAAAAAAAAAAAAAAAAAAAAAAAATTTAAAAAAAATGTTTTGTTTTGTAAATTTTTATAGAAAACAATAAAAATTTGCTGGTCAAACATTATTCTTGAATTTGCACACTTTTTATTTCAACAAGAGCACTTTTATGTTTCTTTTATTTTTTTTTTTTTGGGTACTTTATGTCTTTTCTATATTTATTTATTTTCTTAGGCTGGAATGCTGCTTGAACTTATCTCAAATTTTGTTTATAAAAAGTACCATTTTTGTTTTAACAACAAAATACCGCCTTTCATCAAGATGAAAGGTGTTTTTGGCAATAAAGATTTTTTAGAGATAAAGATTTTGGCAATAAATACTTTTTTTAACAAAAATGCACTAACACAATTTTCAACAAAAAATCTTATTTCACAAAAAAGTAAAGTTTTATAAAAATCTCCAAAATATTTGAGACACTAAAAAGAAAGGGACAAACTAGAGAGGAAAAAAGCTGTTTAAAAAAAAGAATGTTTTACAGTTGACCTCTTGTAACAAGAATCCTCAAGGGGTCTGAAATTATGTCCAAATTACAAAAGTTTTTTTAATTATAGGAGTACAACCCTGAACATTTAATCCTGTAATTAACTGGAGAATAGGAGTACAATCCTGAACATTAAATCCTGTAATTAACTGAAGAATAGGAGTACAATCCTGAACATTAAATCCTGTAATTAACTGAAGAATAGGAGTACAATCCTGAACATTAAATCCTGTAATTAACTGAAGAATAGGAGTACAATCCTGAACATTAAATCCTGTAATTAACTGAAGAATAGGAGTACAATCCTGAACATTAAATCCTGTAATTAACTGAAGAATAGGAGTACAATCCTGAACATTAAATCCTGTAATTAACTGAAGAATAGGAGTACAATCCTGAACATTAAATCCCGTAATTAACTGAAGAATAGGAGTACAATCCTGAACATTAAATCCTGTAATTAACTGAAGAATAGGAGTACAATCCTGAACATTAAACCCTGTAATTAACTGAAGAATAGGAGTACAATCCTGAACATTAAATCCTGTAATTAACTGAAGAACTTGTTTGATCTTTTAAATTATAGGGTTTGAAATAGAGATTTTAACTGTATAAAGTTTATCAATGAATAAAAAAATTATTTATAACACATTAAAACCTATTTTTTAAAAACTTACCTAAAAAATCAGTATGGTAAAATAAAATATAGCCAAATAAAGTCTGTGCTTCGATTCCAATATTCATTACACTTTTAAGAAAAGGCAATGTCCACGAGAATAATTGCAAAACACAATTGCAACTATCTTTTTCATTTACATTTTTAGTATGACTAAATACCATATGAGAATAGGATGAATATGTTAACTCTTGCTCAACATATGCTGTATCTTGATACTTCTTGTGCAATATTAAAAAGTCTTTATGATTTATTATAGCATTATATAGCTGGATAGGTGTGTTGCCATTGATTCCGGATAGCAACCAAAAAGAACATCCCAACTTGCCAAGAAGAATTTCAAGAATATATAGAAATACCCAAATATTAATTGATGAATCTAAAAATAGAATCCCCACAATTATAAACCAAACTACATTTTTTTCATCTCAATAACAAAGTTTTAATAGATAGATATAATATAATTGAAACCATTTTTTTGGGGTAATAATAATTTATATAGTTAAAATAATAAAACATATACATACTAAATAAATTGTACACTAGGGTTATGACTTTTTATCAACCCCATGCTCCTTCCTGTACTGTAGTTTAATAAACTTTTACCTAAACTATTATTTGTATACCTAACTATTATTTGTATATCTTTTCAAAAAATTTCACGCCGCCATTGAAAAATCGATTTTGACATAAGTACTACTATGTATTCAAATATATTTAGAATGTCATAGTCATGTAATACAATAAATTTTTAATCCAACAATAACTCAGACCATTGACCTTGCTCTTGCTTGTTGCACAGAAGGAATCAAAGGTGCAATTTGTCTTTATTTTGAGTGATAAATAAATTTCCTCCATTACTTTGATTGTGCACTCTGCGCATTGATTAATTCTGGGTATCTGTAGTATGGATGACTCTCACCATCCATACTACAGATTCAGTGATTTCTCAAAGAGTTTAAAGCCTTTTTGTATAGATTCAGTATTTTAGCCTAGTTATTAAAGCCATTTTTGTTGCACAGTTGATCTGTAAACCAAAGGTCTGCCCAGACATACGATATATATCGACTCTCTGTAGAACTGTCCTAGTTGGAGAAATTAAAATAAAAGCCAGGATCGCTAGTATAGCTCTGGAGTTCCACCTCGCATTGTTGATGTGGGCATTTTATGAAACCTGATCAATGGAAACTGCCCCTTTTCCTCAAAAAATTGGAACCCTCGAGTGAGATGAAACAAAAATTTCATACCATCTCTCCAGCCTGATGTTTCGAAAATTACTTCTGTTCCGTTATCAAACTGTGTATATAGTCGTTTGTACTCCTAAACATAGGATTCTATCTAAAATATGGTGTTGACAACTGATAAACTGAGGTTTGTTGATGCGTTTCTCTGTGAACATTCGTTGCAATATTACAACAACACCATTCTTTTTTACAATGTTAACGATAGTGGTATCTGCAACAATCATTGAATTCCATAGGTGAAATTAATCGAGGACTTCAGAAATTCTTAGAGCAATAGTTAAAGCCCTAACATCTACCAAGCCAAGGACATTCAATTTGATTTCTCTTTTATTTTTAAGGACGACCACTTGATAATCCATTCTGTCAATGTGCTTGCCATCAAAGTGTAAGGACCAGCTTTCCATATGCAACTTTTCAATCATTTCTTCCTTAAGCTTGATTGCCTTATTGATTGTTGACCTAAATAGCTGATTGACATGGAGTTGGGATGTCAATGCCTTTACAAGCCAATTACTTGCATATGTTAGCAGCTTTGTTTGTTGATACTCTTTTGGAGGTCACCATGTTGACTACAATTTTGTTTTTATGACATTTTCTGCTTGGTGTAGGAGTTGTCTCATCTTCTTCATTGTTTTCATATTCACTGACGTCAGCCTCAGAATCAGAATTACTAAAACCTCATGAGAAAGTTTTTGTTTTTTTGAGGGATGGATCGTTTCTTTACTGGCCGCTTGGCCTATAGAGTATTTCACTTTTTCTTTGCTTTCCACTTGGAGATGGTACAATCCCTTGTCCTCTGAAGATAACCATGTTCCATCCACTTTAGTAATATCAAAAATTTCATCAAGGGGTTTGTAGCTTCCCCGCTTGACACATTCATCATAACATTTCAGTATTTTATCAAGCTTTGCCCATATAACTTGATCAGATACATAGCTTTGCCCATATAACTTGATCAGATACATAGCTTTGCCCATATAACTTGATCAGATACATGAAAAAAATTCAGTTTATTCTTCCACAATTTGGTGACTTCTTTGGAAATTTGCTCCTTTCTTCCTTTGATTTTTGGTAGTGTCTGATAATTTGCTTTTGGAGAGGCATTCTGCACTTTTTTTCAGTGATTATTCTTCCAAAGGGACCATTCTTCTTTTATGAGAGTATTCAAACTTTACCAGATTATTGGTCCAGACATCCTTGTTCTTCTGAATGCTACTTCTGAATCGCTAGGCTTGTACCATGCCATGTGTTGCTTCTGTAATAACTATAAAATAAGGTGAGCATCTATATCGTCTAAAATGTTCTAGAATATTCCAGAATGTTCTAAATTGTTCTAGAATGTTCTAGAGTCTTCTAAAATATTCTGTTATTTTCCAAAATGTTCCAAAGTTCTAAACACTTCTAATCTATACAAGTTTTAAATGATTTGCAGGAAAACCACACGTATAAGTAGTAGTAGTAACAAGATTAAATAAATGACAAAACATAATTTGAATTACAAGGTGACCTTTTCTTATAACAGAAAGGAATTGAACATGTTTTCAATGTTTTCTAATAAAAGTTCATCAATTTATGACACAGGAAATTAATTTTTTTTTAAAGTCAAAAAGTCATAACCCTATTGTACACTGATATTGGTATGAAATAAGATTTGACGTTAAATATTTTAAAACATTACAAAACCCAAAGCAAACATCGACATGCTATAATAATTAGGTGATATAATTATATTATACTATAGAATATACAAAATAGATACCTAGATGCTAAAGTATACTTATACTGTTCAATAAAAATTATAAAAAATTATGTAAAATTTTAAAACCACTTCCAGGATTTTCTTATGTTATAATTACTTCTTTCAGGCATGAAGTATGTTAATGAAAACTTATATTACGACCTAAAAACTACTTAATCTAAATAATCTTAAAAGAAATAATAATAATAATAATATTAAAAAACGTACCTCAAAAACCACAAAGTTAGTTTAAATGACCTAGGGCATGGTGAGAAAACCAAATTATTAAAATTTAGTTAAGTTAAGATAGCTCATCTATCTCCTTATGAATCAATGTAGTTTTTAGAGTTTTTTAATAGCACTAAGTGTAGTTAATAGCAAAAAAAAGAAAATTGCAAATTCCTACATTTTAAAAATAATTTTTTATAAATTTATATAAATTTCTATAATTTTGTATTTAATATAATTGTATATAAATTTCTATAACTTCCCTATAAATTTCTACTTTTTTTTTTGAAATTTAATAATTTTTTTTAAGTAGATGATTATATTAAATTAGCTATAGAATATCAAAAAAAATTAATTAACAGTTTAATTTTAATATAATATATAAATGCCCAACACATGTTTTAGACAGTTTTCTGCTAGGCAAAGATAAAAAAAATAGAGGTATGTACTAATCTTTGTTGTGGTTTTTGGGGAACATATAGCTAAAGAATCTTGATACAAGTAAAAAAGAGTAAACCAAAGAGCCTGATCTAAAGAAACTTAGATCAAACCCTTAAAATTAAATAAAATTTACCATGGAAGCTTTTAAATAACAGCAATAAAATTTTGTCATTATTGTTTGAAGTAAGTAAGATTTTTAAAACTCTGCTTTCAAGAGAATTAAATATAACACCACAAGCAATCCAAATTTCACCACTAGTTTTCCCCATATAAATGTGACGAGCAAGTTTAGTATTATCTTTAATTTCAGTCTCTATATCATAAGCCATTTGAAAATCTACAGAATCATCTTCAAACAATATATTAAGTATACAATTGAAGATAGGCCTAAACTTGTTAAAGTTTTCATTATCAATCAATTTCATATTTCCAATACAATTAGTAGCCCATTCTTTTATCTAAAACATAACTTAAGAATATGTAAAATTAAAAAAAAATAAAAATGCTATTGTTTTTTTTTTTTACATGTAAAATACAAAAAACATAACAATTTATAAATTTCAATTGGTTTTTGAAATAGATTTTTTTAAATATTTTTCAAGAATTACAAATTAAAATGCTTTGAGCAATTAGGATCATATATACAGAATTATTTTTTTAATCTACAGTGCTATTTTTAATCTATACATTGCTATTTTAATTATACTATAAATTGCTATACATTTTATATTTCTATAGATTTACTTCCTATATAAACTTTAATACAAAACAACAAATATGTAAAGAAAAAATAATTAAAATAACCTTGCTATTAGAACAGAGAGTTAAAAAAAACCAAGTTTTATAAAAACATTCTTGTTCCATAATTGATTCTTCCATAAAATCAATCATCCACTCAAGTCCACTAATAAAATGTTGCCATACATTATAATTTAAACATAAATAAGGATAAGTTAGTATTTCAACAAATGGAGTAAGGTAAGTAATGTCTGTAGAATTTCCATTTAAGCTTATCTTTTCTTTAATCTTTTGCATGTTATCAATTAAGCGCTCATGTTCAATACAGGCTACAAGCTCCTAAAATGTTTTAAAATAATTAAAAAAAAAAACAAAAAAAAAATATAACAAAGAAAAAATCAGTAACTGGAATTATTATATAATGCATCTAATCTCATAGCGAGGGTTATTAGATAAACCAAAAAACTTTTTTTTAAGAGATTATATATTTTTTTTAATATAACATATTTTTATTTTTTACTCTTTTGATAATTTTATTTTATGACTAAAAATTTTACTAAATTACTAAATAGCTAATGCAATTAAATTTTATACTAATACCAAGATAGTGATCAAGATAAAGAAACACAATATGCATTAAGCGAATTTCATTAAACAGTAAATGTATGCGAGTATATATATATATAAATCTCCCTCCCTCCCTACCCTCTCTCTCTCTCTCTCTTTATATATATATATATATATATATATATATATATATATATATATATATATATATATATATATATATATATATATATATATATATATATATATATATATATTGTCCAAACAAGAAAACATTCAAGTGATGCATGCGCATGCGTATACTTTTATGTATAACTTTTTGTATTATATATAATTATATTTAATTGATCCTAAGTATATGCGCATTTAACTTATTTGGATAAGGCGTGAACTTCTAGACAAAATATTTGTTTTTTGATTCCTACGACTAGTCATAGGACAGTCACGACTCAAATTTTTTTTTAATCTTTTAAATACCATTCAAATTTCTTATACCATTCAAGCCTTTCAGTATATTTTCTAAGTAAGGCGCACACACATATATACATATTTTTTAAGCGCCAATTAGCCTATGACGTCTACACATTTTTCACATAGCCTTTATTGTTTCATATTACCTTGGCTGTCCTGTACGTTTTTTATCCCTAGTACTTTTTTATCCCCAGCTCTGTGTATGTTGAAAAAAAAATTTAAGAAGAAGTGGGTTTCGATCCACTGACATTCCAATTATGAAGTAAACACTTCATTCAAATAAGCTAAACGTGTGTAAACATATGTACAGATAAATATAATTATATTATGTAAAAATTTATACATGAAAGTATACACATGTATCTCATAGACGTTTCTTATAGGGACAATATATACTTATTCCATTAAAATTATACAAACATTTTACAAACAGATGGCAATTTATATTTTAGCTTTCCTCTTTAAAGAAAAAACAAACAAAATACAGGAACAAAATACATTCTTTTTAATGTTGCTTTAAAACTTTTTTCTTTTTCTTTTTTTTTTTGGCTTTTTTTTTTTTGCCCTATCTAATTTTGTTGCAAAAAATAACAACCACTCTAAAGAAAAATAAAAACAGTACACAAATTATTTAAATTATAAATTTTTATTATTATTTTTTTAAATTTAAATTTATTTAAATTTCCTATTTTGTTAGTTTATCTTTTTTTTGTTTTTGAAACTTAGTTTTTTACGCAATAATTAATATAATAAAACTTGCAAATGTTGCCCAAGTTGTCTAAAATAAAATACCAGGCCTTGTTTTAAAGCGTTACGCCTAGAGCGATTTACGTACGCCTTAAGCGCTTTTTACGTACGCGTAGAGCTGTTTTGGTTAAGCTACTTTTTATCATTTTTTAACTTTTAAATTAGCGGTAACATAAAAGAAGTAATTAATTTTCAAAAAAACCACATTAACTTTTAAATAACGATATGTAAAAGGTATTTATTAAAAAAAAGAATTTACTTTAAAATTAATTGTTGTAACTTTTCATCGCGATATATCTTTCCTTTTTATAGCAATTAATTTGACGCTAAACTTTTTATCCAAATATTTAGCAACATGAAAAATTGTTTGTCAGTCCTTAACTACAAATTTTTTGCAATGTTTTTAATAAAAAGTATTAAAGTTTTTAGTAAAAAACTTTTAAAAAATCTATATTCCATATTTATTAATACAGAATATAAAAGTTTTTTGTTATATAGATTTTTTATAAATTTTTTACTGAATTTATAATAAAAAACATTTGCAAAAAAATTTGTAATTAAGAATTGGCATTTTTTTTAAATAAAATCTCAAAAAATGTCTTAATATTTTTGTTATCATGATAACAAAAATATCAAGACATTTTTTCGAGATGTTAAAAAAAATGTCTTTGCTTTTCTTATTAGTTTAATAGTATATAGCTTATAGTTAGTTTAATAGTATATAGCTTTTCTTATTAGTTTATTAGTATATAGTTTAAGTTATGCGGGGGGAGGGGGTCGGCACAGAAAAAAAAATTACCTGTTACTCGCAATATTTGAATGAAGACAATTTGTTAAAATTCTTCTGCGTGCGATTCAATAAGTTTTTTTTGTCATAAATCAAGTTATAATATAAGGTAAAGAAATCATGAGTAGACTACAACATCCGCTGATGACACTAATATTACGTTGAATATATTTATATAACGGAGGTTTTATTATGCACGCGCACATTACAGGTTCCGTTAAATAAATACTAAGGCACGTTTTAGTTTAATGACAGTCTCCACTTTTTACTAATGAATATGTATTTTTCTTTATAAAACGAAACAAACTAGTATATAAAAACCTTGTATATTTCTATTATCTCTAAATTATTTAAAGTTCGAATATGGATTGTATTTTGAAGGACAAAAGATTTACTTTAAAAACTTTTAAATCTTGGGACTTTGCCGATGCGGTGATCACAGAAAAAGAGAAGACTTACCTTATTAAAATCAAATGTAAGTTATGTGATCTTCATCAAAATAAAATATTATCCAAAAACAATAGTGCCGTAAGGGCAACTGCCCAACGGTTTATAAATAATACAAGTCATATTAAAATATTTTAACATGTTACTATATTTTAATTAAGTTGATATATAATTAAAAATAAAAATATAGTTCAATAAATAAATTAAATTTATTCTTAACAAAGATTACCTCATATTTATTCTTTTTTTTATTTTATTAAGTTAAATTGTTTACAAACGAAAAAAAAAAAAGAGTTTTGTAATTATACGTAGAATGAAAATACTTTTGAGTTTGTTTATAAGTTAAGGAACTTAATTTTTAATAAACAAATTTTTACGAACGTTTATTATAAACAGATACGATTCAAATTTTAAATTATTTCAGTTGAGTATTTTTATAAATTTGCACGATTAAAGTTTAGCGTACAAGTATTTGTTTTTTTGTTTTAAGAATAATTAATAAAAGAGTTTGCATAATTAAGACTTTTATATTTAATTTAATTTTTTTTTTAATTTCCTAAAATTAAAAAAAAAAAAAAAAAAGATTTAATCGTTGAAAACGATTTTTCTCTATAATTGATTGTTTCTTTGTGATTTGTTTAAAAAGTTAAATATTTTTACAATAACATAAAAAGTTTATGAATTAAATTCCTAGCGAACGCGTTCTAAACTATGTATCAAAAATACGCTTCAAAGCAGACAAAACTTTTTTATATTTTTATAAAACGCAAGTTGAAACGCTTTTAAAAATTTAAAAAATATTTAAAAACTTAAATTTTTCTTTGCTAGTCAAAACAAAATCGTTGTTTAAATAATTAACATGGGTTTGTGTTTATCAATGTTAATATTTTTTGTTTACTCTAGAAATTTTTAAAAATAAAAAAAATCATTATTTTTTATTCAATAACGATTAAAAACAATTATTCAAAAACAAATTTCAGAAATAATTAATATATATATATATATATATATATATATATATATATATATATATATATATATATATATATATATTTTACTAAATAATATTGAACTAAAATTAATAATAAAATAACAATTGAAAACATTACAAAATTTTCATAATAAATTTATATTTAAAACGTTTATAGTTTATATTTGAGTTAATTGTTAAATTGAATTAGTTTGCGGTTATTTATTTATTGCGGTAGTTAAAACACTTAACGTCTATAAAAAAAAATAAAGATAATTTTATGACGTCAAAATTGCGTTAAGCTAATGCATTAAGCACTTTTTTATTTAAAACAAGGCCTGAAATACCATATTTTATTTTAGGGTAATTCCACATCAAATTATCCAGTCCATTGAACCACGTGTATTCATTTTGTGTTATATTTTGACATATTACTCCTAATTATAATAAAATTTTACATGCAAAATTTCAGCTTAAAATGTTGAGCAGTTGACAAGATACAGCAATTTTAATAATGACCTGGTTTCCAATAATGACCCAGATTTCATAACATTCTTAAAAAACATTTTTCTTTAAAAAATAAGAAATAAAAATGGCAAAAATATGAAAATAAACATATATAAGGTTTTTGTGATGCTGATATCAGTAAATGTACTTAAAATGCTGAAATATTTAGGAACATGCCTAAAAGTTAATAAAAAAACTGGTTTCTATAAACCAATTTTGGGGCCCAATATCCTAAAACACCCTGTCAAAATTTTTTTTTTTTTTTTTTGCTGCTAATATTTTCAGCTGCTTCATCTTACTAGGCACAAAAAATCTAACTGGAAAAGCAACTGAAACATATTGAACTTTAATTTCAAAGATATATCACTTTTCAAAAAATTCCCACATAATGCTTTGTTTTTTTCTTTTAAGGAGTCTATAAACTAAACTTAATATTTTCTATAAACTAAATTTAATATTTTATATAAAAGAATTCTATTTGCAAGTTTATTTAAGTAGTTTATTGAAAATTTGATCTATCTTTGAAATTAAAGTTCAATGTTTCAGTTGTTTTTCCAGTTATACTTTTTGTGCCTAGTAAGATTATAAGCAGCTGAAAATATTAACAGCAAAAAAAAAAAAAAAAAAATTGATAGGGGTGTTTTGAGATATTGGGCCCCAAAGTTGGTTTAAAGAAACTAGCTGTTTTATTAACTTTTAGGCATGTACCTGTAATATTTCAGCATTTTAAGTACATTAATTGAATTCAGCATCAAAAAAAAACATGTTTATTTTCATATTTTTGCCATTTTTATTTCTTATTTTTTAAGGAAATTTTTTTTTTTAGAATGTTATGAAAACCAGTTTATTTTAGGAAACCAGGTCAATATTAAAATTGCAGTATCTTGTCAACCATTGAACATTTTAAACTGAAATTTTATGTATTAACTTTTTGTTTTAACATAAAACAACCAAAAATTTGAGGAGCCAAAGTTCAAAATTTCCTAAATTTTGAGTGAAATGATACGGAATTACCCTTAATAAACAACTTGGGGTATTTTATTTTAGACTAAGTTGTCTAAAATAAACAATCAAGTGTGGTCATACAAGATAAAAAACTGCATGCATTTCCTAGGAAGACTTGCAAAGCGTATTTATCTAATTGAACAAATCTTTTAATTTATTTGGTTTTGGAAAATATCATAGTGATAAAACTTTTTATTAAAAATATTGTGTTAGTAATAAATTTTTTTTCTTTTATAGCTAGCTACTATAATATGTTTATGTTTTCAGAAATGTTGGTTATAATATTTCATGAAATTAAAAAATATCTCTAAAAAAACCCAATAAATTGCCTAGGTTTTATTGGGTTTTCTAAGGCTGGTTTTATTGGGCAGGTTTTTTATGCCAGCCTTGATGGTATGAAACTATGTTAGAATCAACAAAGTCTAAAGAATGAGTAACAATCTTTTTGCACCAAACAACATTGAAGTTCAAACAACATTGAAGTTCAAACAACATTGAAGTTCAAACAACATTGAAGTTCAAACAACATTGAAGTTCAAATTGACATTGTCCTAAAAATCATGGTCTATCAGAAAAGCAGCAAATGACTTTTCAGTTTCCAACCAAAATTCAAAATGAAAGTTTTTACCTGACCTAAAAGGCATCATAGCATACCCTGATATTGCTGAACGGCATTGAATCAGCAAAGATGTTATAGAACTTGTACAGCTTTTTTTACTGTGATAATGAGTAATCAAAGTAAAAAAAAACTGTTAGCATTTGAAAAAAAAAATTGATTTTGTGTATTTGTGTAAATGTCTTTTCACAAATGCATTAAAAATATTTTGTTTCTTATAAATTCAATTTTGTGCGTAATACATTTATGAACATAAATTACGTTGACAAATTATCTTGATTGGTAGCTGATAAAATTTATCTATAAATTGTTTATAATCTTTATTAAAAATATTACATAAAATATGTAAAGAATAAAATAAATAATTTGTGATAAACAAACAAAAGAATATGTTAAGAATTAAATTGTTTCAAGAAATAAATTATAAGGAAATATAATCTTTTTCAAACACTGAACTTAGATTCTATCAATAACTTATATTTATAATTAAACATTGTAATTAAATTTAATTACAATGCAGTACTTAAAAATATTAATAGATTTCAGGCTCCTGTAACAAATAAGATCTTAATAATTGCAACACATTAAAAGAAAAAGGTTTTAAAGGATTAGTAAACTGTTTTTTTAAATTTGTCAAGACTTTGTTGTTGTAAAAAAGAGGGCCTATTTTATCTATAAAATAAGCATTCAATTCAAGTGAAAAAAGTAATAGCATATACATTTGCATGTGCCTTATATGAAAGTAGAAAAGTGAATGTTATCAATAGTTTACAATATTACTTTTGTTTAAACAAATTATTTCTATTCTACACCTAGCCCTATAAGAAAAAGTGACTAGAATATGCAAGAACTCTGCTGAATGCAAAAATCTTTATACATTTTTATAGTAATGGACAACTTAAAACATCCACAGACAACCAAGATTAACGAACTAGTTACTTTCAGTTGCCCTTTTGATGACTGATCAAAAATTAAAAAATTCATTATTTTTTAATTATGTCATAAAAAAAGAGTTATTAAAAAAATTCATTATTCCAGAAAGCAATCAATTTTTCATTATATAATCAATCTTATTTCTCTTATATGAATTTTGTCTATGAGCACATGATTATTGCAGTCAATATTTTAGTGTTTAAATCTGTGCACATAATGCATTTTGATTTGACATTCATCGTTTACATTCCCACATTCGCATAATTACATATTTCACAATGATAAGTTTAATTGCTATAGAATATTTTAAACTTTTTTTTTTTTTTGTTAACTAAAACTGGAGTAAATTTAATTTCAATAATTATTACTGAAGTGGAACTATTATTTACTTAACCCTTTAACAGTCCCATGTTTTTTTTTAAAAACGTCCCATATTTTTAAATTCATTGTGTTTTTTTACTAATAGATTAAAAAATGTTTTTTATTATTTTTAACATTATTAAACATTACAAAATGTTATTATTCAAGTTTAAGAATATATCAATCATACTACATAAACATAAGATTTTAAAAATGTATTTACTAATATTCACTTTTTGTATAATAATTGAAAAAAGCAAGGAGCTGCAAAAAATCTTACATCACATTCTACACATTCATATCCTGAACCTTTTTGAACATTCTTTTTGTAACATACCGCACACCACATTTGAGCATTAACCTTTTATTATCATTTTCAATAATCATTCATTAAATACATTTTTTAATTATTGATTCATCAAATGCATAAAATTCTATTTTTTTGTGAGTAAATGTTTACTTTTTGATAATTATTTTTGTACTGAAAAAACTTCCTCATTTGTCATATTTAAAATTAAATTGAACACATTTAAAAGACAATTATTGAAACAAAAGCTCTGTAATTATCTAGTAATAACTTTTGTGACAAGTAGAGGTATAATTACTGATGAACAAGAAGGAAATATAAGGAGATGCACAAAACTATAATAGTACGGCATGGACATTTAGAAACCGCTTTTAGTTTGCATATTACCGCATGGATATTTAGAAACCATTTTTTGTTTGTTTAATATTATGCCATGGACTGTTAACGGGTTAAATACTATTTCCATAATTCAACACTTTATAAATCAAATGTTTTTCTCCTTGGTTTCAGTCTGATTCTTTATTAGATATTTGTAAACAAAATATCTTCCAAAAAAATATTTTTGAGCTAAGTATTATAAAAAAAATATATACCTTTTTAGATTCCTCTTTTTTGATAAACTTGTGTTTGCAATCATGGTATACTTTAACACATTCAAGACAAAAAAAAAGGTCAGGAATACACTTTTCAGCACAATATAAATATGCTTCATTATCATTTGTAACAATCTCTTTTGATAGAATCTTTAAAAATTTTTGTATTTCATTTTTATCTCCTTCACACCATAAACAGCTCATTGTATTTTCAACTCTAATGTTTAAATTAATAAGACAAAGATAAAATTTTTAATATGTTGTTTAAAAATTTACTATTAAGAAATTAGTAATTTAAAATAATTAGTAAAAAATGTGCAACTAAAGATAAAAATAAAAAGATAAACAGTTATAATGATGATAATGATGATTTTAAGTCAGTTAACATGATTGATTAAATATCAGTTGGTTTTTGCTTTGTAAATTTATTTAAATGGATTTGCTTTTGATATTATATATTATTATAAGGATAATGGATTAAGTTATTTGATATTAGATATTCTTATCGCTTTGGATGACTCTAGCTAGTGATTCTGCTTCATATGAAAGCAGAGTTGCTAACTCTAGCTTTAATTTTTTATTCTAAAAACTATTTTTAACTTATTTTAATGCTTCAGTAGATCATAATAGTATATCATAGTATATCAGAGATCTGACTAAAACATTTTACTTCTTTTCAAGAGACTATCTGCAGTCATCTAAATATTTGGCAAAAAAAAGACTTTAAGCAAAAAGTCTTTTTTTTTTAAAGTAATAACAAATATTAATTTAAGTATATTTAAAAGAAGTATTTATTGCTAAAAATTATTTAAAGGTGAGCAAGCCATTTGAAGAGAAAAATAAAAAAAAAATAAAAAATTACAAAATATGATATGATACATTTTTGCACATTCTCCAAAAGTAAAAGGGTATCATTAGAAGATCAAGCTCAAACATACTTCAGTCAATATGTTGCCATTGAATAATATAAGAAAATATAATTACAATGAACCTTAATTAAAAGAATATTGTAATGTCATTAAAAAGGATGTTGTGATTGAAAATTATGATTGGAGAGAATAGATTAAAAAACTTAAAAAAAACTTTTACTGATACACAAAATGAACAAAGAATATGAAGACTAGCATTTAAGAATAAGTGGAAAGCCTTTAATGTCAAAAACAACAACCGTTGTCCTACCACTTTCACACACAGTATAACTGTTATTGAATTTGATAGGGCACAAAGTGGTCTCCAAAAATATTTAACATATATTAAAGAGTTTGACAAGTACAGAAGAAAATGTAGACAAAACTTTTGCAAATTTTTGACAGATATTATTGGGACCATAAGGTATTGAAAAGTCAGTTAGAAATATCTACCATAGTTGTCTTACATATTAGTTACAGCAATTCAACAGAACGGTTACTTTTTTTAACAATTTATTGAGGGTTATACTATATGTAAATATCTATCCATTTATCTATATATATATATATATATATATATATATATATATATATATATATATATATATATATATATATATATATATATATATATATATACATATATTTAACAATCTATCTATCTATGTACTTATCTATCTATCTACATACTAATCATATAATCATACAGATTTGCATCTATTGTATTTTGAATTAAGATCAATTGATTAGAATTAATTAGTCATACAAAAACTTATTAAAATTAACCTTTTTCTAATGTTTCCTGGAAATCATGTATCAGCAATAACAAAATATACAAATAAACATGTATAAAATTTATTACTAAGGTAGGAACGTTTAAGAAAACTAATGGACTGTTTTAAATTTCAATTACTTAGTCAACTGATTAAGTCACCTTAATTATCTCATCTTGATCAATATTTGTAACTATAATTGTTTGTAAATCTTAGTGGCAGCATTGAATTTTTAATAAATTACCAAATAGTTCAGAAATTCAATTCTATTTATTGTATTTGTTTTTATATTAGGAAAATGGTGTTAGTTATATTCCAGAAATCCATAAGTTTGCACTATATAATTAATCCTATTTTTCCTTTTATGGGAATTGTGTCTATGAGCACATGATTATTGCAGTCAATATTATAGCGTTTAAATCTGTACACATAATAAAATTTGATTTGACATTTATAGTTTTACATTTATAGCTAACAATCCCACATTCATGTTATATATTTTAAAATGATCTTCTTTTTTGTCAGTCAAAACTGAAGTAAATACAATTTCAATAATTATTATTTAACTTTTATTTATTTTAATCTTCATTCCAATATTCATATTTTTTTAAATCAAATGTTTTTTCACCTTTGCTCCTGTATAATGAATGCACTTTATTTTTTCAAAAAAAGATTTCATAAAGTAAAAAACACAGATTTCAACTACCCAAAAGGCTTTGTCACAAGAAGCATGTTGTAACAAGAAACATGTTGTAAAAACAAGTTATAAAATGTGTGTGATATATTATAATGTTGACTTTTTTACTATCTGTTCAACAACTAGTTTTACTGAAATAAATGTCTATAATACAGCTGCCATGCCAAACAATAAAAACAGTAACACATAAAAGTTAATTTTTCAAAAACTTCATATAACCAAAATACATTGATTGAAAATGCTATTACTTCTTTAAATAAGAAAAATTTAAAGTCAGCTTCATATAACTACGCCAGCAAAAATGTTTTAAAATTTTTCTGTTATTAACCAAGTGGTTTCTTCACCCCTACGATCAATCTTACAGTATTAATTTAAAATGTCATCAAATTTTATATTCTAAATGTAACACTGCAAACTCAAATGAAATGACTAGGACCTGTTATATATAATCATATAATTTGTCATACTATACTTTGATAGTGTAGACCGAATCCAGAAATATGAAGTTTATGTTGTTAGTCTTGAGGCTAGACTGGATGTTAGTTTTTAAATAAAGCATTTTCCTGGTAGCAAGATGGCATTATCTTATATTGAATCAACAATAGCAAACAAGCAACCAATAGTTTGTTAATATTAGCTGATATACATCCACCAAATGTTTAAAAAAATATCATATTCTATACCACTTAAATTTTTTTTTATAAATGAAATTTTTATGCTATATGTTGAAAGAACTCTGAACAAAACTTTTGAATTGAAAAAAACTGTAAAAGTCTTCTTAAAAAAACATCACCAAACCAATAAGATACCAACACTTCTAACTTGTAACTGCATAAGATAACGGTAAAACATCATTTGAGCGATAAAATAATTTAGAAGAGCAACAATTTAATAACAGAAAAGTTGACTGTCAATTAGTAGAAATTATTCTGCGTCAGAAAAAGTTCCTGATATTATTACTTACTTTTAGAGCGGGAATTATTTTTTTACTGTCTCCATACTTTACTTCTAACTGACCTGCGCAATTTGAAAAATGATTAAATCAGAAATCTTACGTCAGGGTAAAAAAAAACCGTATAAAAAAATTACACCGTAGTAATTTAGTTAGAGGACCGTATATACCGTATTAGATTATTTTAATTAGAGTGATCATGATAACTTTCCACCATAGTCATAAGAATAAAATATATTTCTTATGACTATGTTTCCACTGTACCTGTGAATAATTCTTTCAAATTAGCAAATTTCGATATTTTTTTTAAATTTTTTTTTAAAAAAAAAAAAAAAAAAGAAAGGCTTAATTATTCACAGAAGAAGTTCATGGACTTGGAATTGGAGTATATAGACTGCGCGAGTTAAAAATAAGACACCCCAAAAAGATTTATAACTCTACTATACATTTACATTACAAATTAATTTTTATTTTAAATGAAAGCAAGGAGTTTATAACACTAAACAACTTTTTAACAAATTTATTTTTAACGTAACTCGCATTTTTAAAAAAAAAAAGTTTTTTGAGTGCGACAATTATAAGACAGTTTTACATAAAACGTTTTAATTGCAAACCGCAGTTGTTGGCAATTAAGAATATTCATTTAATGTAAATACCACAGACGATTATTTAACTGTAAACTTTTGTAAACTGTCAAACATATAATGTTTGAAGGTGGTAAACAATATAATTCACTAGCTGACTTGAAATCATCCATCGCTGCTGCATGCAATTGACATTTCGTACACAAAAAAGTTGTGTGATTCTTTACCTTCTAGAATGATTGAAGTAATTCAAAAAAATGGTAAAAGTACCCACTATTGATTGTTTAAAATTGAAACGTCTTTTTATATAAATGACAACTTATAGGAATTTTTTCCAAAAGTGTCATAATTTTGTCGCACTAAAAAAGTTTTTTTTTTTTTTAATAAAATACGATTTAGGTTTAAAATAAATTTTTTTAAATGTTGTTTAGTCTTGTAATCCTTTTGCTCACATTTACTATAAAAATTAGTTTTAAATATAAATGTATAGTAGAGTTTTAAAAATATTTTTGGGGTGTCTTATCATTATGTATTAGGCGGTTTTAAGTTTCTTTTAAGGATAAAGTTTTAACGGTTGAAGTACGATTTTAACCTACAAACCTTTGTGTTTCAAATCAGCTTGAATATTTTATAAAATATTTTCCTATCCAAGGACCTATATCATCTACACAAAGAGTTTTTTAAGATTCATGACAATTAAAAAAAATACTTGAATGTATTAAAAAACAAAAGGGTTTTGCCTATATCAAAGAAATGTATTTGTCAACATTTCAATCCTAAAATGACTTGCGTTATTAAAAAATTATATTGATTTGTCCGCATGTCAATCCCATAACCACTTGCGCTACAAAAATTATTTCTATTTAAAGCCATTACCAAGGTTTAAAAAAACGCAGCGGTGAGGCGTACGCTTTTTTAAACCTTGACTATTGTCTAGTTTTACAAATTTTTGCAAAAGGCGTACGCCTCACCGCCTCACTGCTACGTTTTTTTAAACCTTGGCCATTACCGAATACTACAATATAATCAAATATAATTATATTGTATATCATTTTGATTAAAAATTTTGTAACTTTTGAAATTTAAATTGCGTGATAAACAAACTAATCTATATATAAAAAAAAAACAATTGTATGGTTAGCATCCTGATAAAAAAAAGTTTAAAATTTTATTAATATGTATTATTGTAACTAGAAAAGCTGCATGTAAACATAGCAATCCAACAATTTGCAAGAACAATATTAATCTAAGTTTTAAGTGGTCAAGCTCAATATCTTTTTTTTTTATTGCAGCAATCAGATTAAATGTTTGTGTATGAGATTCTTTGTTAATGGGATTATGATTTAACACAAAATGATGTCATGGACTTTATGTGCAACTACATTTATTGTACAGTTTTACCCAGATCTATTCAAAAATGTCGAAAATGTCGGTTTTATACATTTATAATAAAATGGTCAAAAAATATCCTCAAAGAAAACTCACAACTTTGCATCTGTCAATCTGCTTCTTGCACTCAAGCAATAGTTACTTCGAAGTTGTCACTAAACAATAGTAACTCTTTTGTATAACTTCCGAATCTGATTAAAAAATTGACACAAAATGCTTGGTAAAGAATTTGTTCGTGGATTAAATGATAGCTAATGCCAGTAAATGATTTGTTTTTGTTGAGTGGAAATAACCGAGTATAATAATGCTTAACAAAAACAAACCATTTACAAGCATTAACTATTTAACCCATTTAACCCACTCTATTTTTTTGGATTCCACAATTTTTTGCAGAGTTAGTAATAGTAAAAGATGATTTTTTTTTTCTTCCGGTAATACATCTATATGTAACGTTTTATTTCATTTAATTACTTATAAATAATTTATTTATTATAGTTGTACACCTTCATCAACAGCATTAAATAAAACGGGGGTCAGCAATAGTTTTCGATGAAATGGGTATATCTTTTAATTGGGGGTTTACATTATGTTTTTCAGTAAACTTTATTATTATTAGTAAGTTTATTTCAATAGTCTATTTAGATTATTCGAAAAATATGTAGTTTTTTTGGTTTTTATATTAGTAAGACTAAACCGAGATTTTCGTTTTTTTTTACAAGACCAATGCTTAGCAGCATCTTGCTGCTTTAGAAAACGTTTAGAAAAAAAAATACGAAAAAAAGGGGTCTTTGTAAAACCTTGATAATAACCTAAAAGCATAAATATCGTATTAAAAAAAAAAAACCAAAACCCTCTCATAATTTATATAAAATATGAAACGGTTCTTTAAGCCCGTTCTCCATTAAGAACTATTTGCGCTTTGGAGGAACGGAAGAGTTCTTTGAGCATGCGCAAAAAATTCTGATTAGAGAACGGGTTTAAAAAAACTGTTTGCGCATGCTTAAAGAACTTTTCCGCTTCTCCAAAGCGCAAAAAGTTCTGAATGGAGAACGGCCTTTATACGCAATGTTGAGCGACGTAGGCCTCTTTTGTCGCTCAACACCGCGTTTTTTACTAGATTTAAGTTAATAGAAATTAAATATTAAAAATATTTGAAAAAGTTAAATATATCAAAAAGATTTAACCTACCAACAAAATTATTTTTGCCTTAATTATTGCCTTGTATGGTCTTTTTGGTAATTCATTTAGTACAATTCTTTGTACCTTAATTAGCTCTAATAACTTGTACACAATTTTAGATAGCAAATATATTACAAATTCTTATATGACTATTTAACATAACAATTAAGCAAAGCTGTGCAACGTTTTTTGGTTCTTTTTTGCTTTGAACTTTTTTTTTTTATCGTTTATAATTATACGTAGTTGTTACTCATTAGACATTTCATAAAGTTGTTAATGATGAAACTGCATGAAATTTTAAGGAAATGTTTATAGTGTAATAGTCAATATTTTACTATTGTTATTAGTTATTGTAAATTTTAAATTGTTATTAGTTAAACAACATTAAACTAATAATAAACAAATAAGTAATATTTAGAAATGTTAAGTGCGGTATACATTTTATAATATCGCAGTTCTTAATCTTTCCCAAAACAAAACAAGTTTTGTTTTATATTTTAAAAAACAAGTTTAACTTTGCTTATCAAAAGACAGTTTCAAAGGTACTGGATATTACTAGTATTTTAATAATAAAATATAGAATTTGCTTTAGTTCCGTAAAAACGATACAAAAATGTCGTCTGTTGTTTTTTAGGAGCATATTGCAATTACTTGAATTTAGTAGCTGAAATTAAAAAAAATATTTTTTGCTGGATTGCTGAAAACTTCTCGTTTTCATTCTCATGGACATATTCAACTTTAATTGTGATAGTAAATGAAAATGGCATGTTAGTTAAATTTTGAAGCTGTATTCTTTATTTGGAATGAATTTTTTCATAGAAATTAAGGAATACGGTCATTAAAGCAATAAATTTATCTTTTTGTTCAAGATAAATAATGCGTGATATAAAAAAAAACTATCAATAACATTCAACTTGCTACAAAGTTTTGTGAACGAGAGAATGTTCAAATGACCAGCCTTTACAACCCAAGTAGCAAACAATATTGGCACGATATTGGGTAATCTTGGCCAAGATATCCGATATTGCGCCAATATTGTCAAGAAATATTACGCTAATATTGTCTTACCAATATTGGCAAACAATATTGGTAAGACAACATTATCCATTATCGTTTTACTGCCAATATTGGTACGCATGCGTAACATTAAGGAATATTCATAATGTCCTTTAGTTTTGTTAAATGTGTTTAAATGTAAATAATAGCGTCTTTTTACATAAACAGGCATCCTTATGTTATTAATTTTTTTATAAAAAGAAATAAGAGTTCAAAATAAAAATTTTAATTTATGAAAAGAGAAGAAGTAGGAAAAGTATATTTAATTCAACATTTACAGAGTGAATCAGGAAAAGAAGTGTTGGTAATTTATTTTGAAACAGATAGTATCATGAGAAGAAGTGGTAAGAGTGATAAAATTCTTTTATTCAACATTACGAATTGAATTACGAGAAGAAGTGGTTGTAATTATATATATATATATATATATATATATATATATATATATATATATATATATATATATATATATATATATATATATATATATATATATATATATATATATATATATATATATATATATATATATATATATATATATATATATATATATATATATTATATAAACGCGACTTTAAAAATGCAATAAACTTAAGTGAGGATTGATGTTGGACATTTGCCTTGGAGAATAAAACTGATATAGAAAAATTATATCAGATATATTGAAATCTTTCAACACATTTCACAACTCCTACTTCTAAAATTAAAAGCTTATAGAATAAATGACTATACAATTGGATTTTAATGTTACCTAAGAGATCAGCATTAGAGTATCATTGTTGGTGGTACATACTCAGAATGGATAATAGTAAATAGTGGGGTCCTCCATTATTTACTTTTATGATATATAATAAAGATCTTTCTGATTTGGTTTTAGATGTTGTATTTGTATTTACAGATGATACTAAATTATACAGTTTGCTTTTTGATAGCTCACCATGCAATAACCTGCAATAAAGTATGGACATTATAGCAAATTGGGCAAAACTATGAAAACTAAGTTTTAATGTAAAAAATTGTAAAGTTATACCCTTTAGGACCAACAAATACAAAATTTTCCCTTAAGACCAACTATGCCCTTAGGACCAACAAATACAAAATTCATTAATATACTCGTTGATAAAAATCTCAATACTTCAATTAATATTAAAAACTCTCTCGTCAATAAAGGGATCTTCATTGACAGTAATTTGACTTTTATTTTGCAAGTACTAAGAATAACACCGCCAATAAAGTTGTAGGAATGATCAAAAGATCATTTGTCAATCTCAATATCTTGACATTTCGTACTTTGTTTATTTGACTTTAAAAAGATCAACAATTAATTTAAAATGTTCTATGCTAGTCTAGTAAATTTGTTTTTGGCCAGACTGGACTCACTTACAACCAAAGACTACTGAGACTAAATTTAACTAGCATGAGCTATCGTTTCTTATTTAATGACATGGCAGAAACTTACAAATGGATTCACAATCTTTATAATTGTAGTTGCAACTCTTTTGTTTCCTCATAAAATACCATTCAGTATTTTATCTATCAACACCTGTGTCAGAATGGTATCATCTGCACAACCATTATATTTATTATTGTAATTACAGACCATTAAGAGTTAATCTGAGTTGTAATAGCATGTGTGTTAATATGGCCACCTCTTAATATTAACATATGATTATATATTTAGTTAGTATTTATTCCTCCATTATGACTAACTCCAACTTAACAACATGCGATCATGCTATTAAATTGAGAAAAATGTTTTGTAAGACAGATGTCTGGAAAAAACTTTTCTAATATGGAATTCACAAATTTTTAGAATAGTCTAACATCTGAAATAGTGTTCAACATCTGTCACGACATTAAAAAAAATATCTAGATGTATCTTGGGTTCATCTAATGTACAATTGCAAAATGGTAAATATTTACTTAGAGCGTAAAGTTGTTTATCTTCCTTAATGTCATACTTAAATAAGAAAATATTATCATAGGAACCTTTCTAAACCGCTCAAACTTTAAAATTCACTTTTTTTTACTAACCAATAATTAAACTCTACTTGCAATAAAAAGCGATTACATTAAACATTAAGAAATGAATCTCAATAATTTTTAGACTAATATTTTCAGTTAAAAAAAAAAAAAAATCTTAAAAAAGAAAGTTAATCTAAAGTTTTTTTATATCGCAAATTTATTTTTGATATAAAAAAACTTCAGATTAACTTTATGTGTAACATGAATAAAAAAACAATATGTGAACATGAATTTAATCTGTTTTTCATGGTGTATCAATCAAAGTTTGGTGTATTGGCCAAATCACTTGCAAGCATCTTGCCTTTAAACTGCCATACGTAAAGTCATGCTTTTAAAAGTAACTGAAAGCAGCTGAAAATAAGAATTTTTTGGTAATTGTCTTATTTACAATATTGTTTTTGTTTTATTTACAGTATTGTCTTTGTTTTTTATCTAAACAGCTATGTTTGACTCAAATATAGTAAATGTTGATTGTTTAGTATGGTTTCATCTCATCTTTATACTTTTTTTTGACAGTTATGAGACTGCTTTAGAACGAAATTATCTGTGCCTCCAGCTTAAAAGGATGCAGGTTACAAAAAAAGTGACACTGATATGATTGTCTCTCAGTTTCTCAAAGATTGAAGAAATCTTTAGTGTTTTAGGGTTAAGTGATTCCATCAGAGCTTTGCTTGACTATTTCTTTCGATTTATTGAATTTATTTGCCGGTTATAGATGAAAAAAGATCTTCTAAACCTAGAAGAAAAATTATGGAACAAAGACACCTTATGAATCAATAGTATATATCAGTGAATTGATATTAGTTAATAGTTTTTGGAAACAGTACCATGTACTATTAAAGTTTCTAATTTTTAAAATATATAATACATTTATATGAAACATACAAACAAATGATACAATATGGTACGTGATTGACTATAATTATGTTGTATATCAGAATGTTTTATATAAATGCTTATTACATTTTATTGTGATTTTTATCTTTTATGCCCAGTTAGCAATGTATTTTGTGTAGCAATGACTACTAATCTCAGATATCTATGACATCTGTAGGTTGTATTCACCTCTACAGATGTCATAATCTATTTATAACCAATTGCTTTTACTCTTCCATAATGTCATATTTTAATAAGAATCATATTATGGAAAACCGTATAATACATACACATGAGGAACCATTATACTTTTAGTACAACCAATTATATTACATTTGTTTTCTTATTTTAGATGAACTTTCTTACTTCGGTTGGAGGAGATTAGAAACAACTTACAGCGGTAATCTTAATACAGCTAATGGCCAAAGAAGTATGTTTTTCATATTCAGTATATGAAAGAAAACAAAAACGACCTGCAAGGTCGTTATAGGTAAAGCACAATATTTGTGTTCTACATCCCATTTCCTTTTAATAAATAAATATTTTAATAAAAGCTAATTACTTTACAATATTTATACGTGAAAAGTTATATATTTCAAAGTTATATTGTGATGATATTTAAAAAATATTGTGTAGAGTTGCGTTTAGTCGTTTATCGTTGTATTCGTTCATTTCGAAATCGCTACTGACAAAAGTATTAAAGAAAATATTGGCAGCTTTCTGGCGACGGCCATTAACAGAGATTACGGAAGAAAAATAGAACCGTAACTGAGCAACGCCTAATGCAATGCAACAGCAATGACATCTGTAGGGTAAATAAGTATCGCCAATATAATGAAAGTCAATGCCCACTATCTCATAGTGAGAGTATAATACAGTAGTTTATATATATATATATATATATGTATATATATAAATATATATATATATATATATATATATATATATATATATATATATATATATATATATATATATATATATATATATACATATTTTTTGTATGTGTATTAAATAACATTGATTTTATTTTGTTATATTTTGGTTTTGGAAAACTCTATATCTCTTTTTTTCATTTGTATTTGTTTCATATAACTTCAAATAAATTTAATGATTTTGAATTTTTTTTTCTTTAAGCGTGTTCTATGATTATCGTCATCTCCTAGACTATAACCTGTTTAACTCAAAAGAATAATGCAGCCTAGTACTATAGTATCACTTAAACAAGAAAACTGTTATAAATTTTAATTATTACAAATTTGTAGAAAGCAATATTTTTTATTATTTTTTAATAATAAAAATTTAATCGAAAATACTCAATATATTGCCTTAATTTAGTTATATATATTATATATATCAGGATAATATTGTAAACCATATTAGGCCAATATTGGCCAGTATAATATCCCCATTATTGGCGCGATATTATTTACAATATTGGTGCAATATTATAAACTATATCGGGCCAGTATAATATCCCCATTATTGGCGCGATATTATTTACAATATTGGTGCAATATTATAAACTATATCGGGCCAATGTTGCAGTGTGAACATTTTGCCAATATTGGCCAATATTGACTTTACAATATTGGTGCAATATTGTAGCGCCAATATTGGCGCAATTTTGTAGCGCCAATATTGGCCAATATTGGCAAAATGTTCACACTGCAACATTGGCCCGATATAGTTTACAATATTGCGCCAATATTGTAAACAATATCGCCCCAATATTGCGCCAATATTGTTTGCTACTAGGGAAATTTACAAATTTTATTGCTTTTGGTTGCGGTCCAAGGGCGAAACAGACTAAGTGACACATTAGTTTGGTTTTAAAAAGAAGTAATAAGACTTCGGAAAAAACAGCTAATTTTAATCGAAAATCCAATAAAATGATAAAATATCAACACTTTAGTGATGGCAGATAAAAAAATTTATGCAAAGATAACGACAAAATAATTTTTTTTGCTATCTTTCTCTTGGATAAGTATCCAAGAGAAAGATAGCAAAAAAATTTTACTTTTTACTTTTTTGGTCCAAAATAGAAAAAGGACTTGTGTATCTTACTCAACCGCTTTCCATGTGTAGTTTTTGAGAAATTTTAATTGCCCAACATGGTCATATGCTCAACAAGCCTCGCTCTACTCTATATAGTGTTCGATTTTATATATATTTTTTTGTTGTTATTAAGGTAGTGAGACTTAACGCTCGTGTAACAGAGTACAACAAAAGAATATTTAAACAAGACGTTTAGAAGACTTTATCCTAACCATTGACGCTTATTCGGTCAGAGCAGTTTTATAACCTCTAACTTCTTGGATTTGATGGCAAAAGTATAACAATTGTGCCACAACTGCTTTTCAATCTGTGTATCTCAGAGATAATTCACTAATTTACAAAAAAATTATGTCATCTCCGCGATCATTAAATGCAAAAAATGTATTACATATGAAAGACCAAATATTACATAAGCACATTTAAGATTAAAAGCAATATAATTGTTTACATCTTCAAGATTAAATTTCTCAAGCATTAATTTCATATTTTTAGGAATATCTTTAACAATGATAGGGGAAAGGTGGCTATGATGGCATAGCGCCTTTGATGGCATACCGGTCATATTTTCATAAATATTGGTTATGGCGAATAAGTGATTAAACCTACATGTTTATACTGACTTTATATTTGTTTTAGTAAAAACAAGTCCCTTATGCACAAATATTGCTTTTATAATCAACAAAGATTGATTTTGGGATGCGCTGTTGTATTTTTAATCCCTTTATATATTTAAGATTGTGATTTTATTATTAGCTCCGCAAGAATGAAATTTTCTTGCATTTTATTTCCGAGCTTAGTGCATTTAGTGAAATACTTATTTCAACTTTATCTTTTGAACAAGGCAGACATAGCTTGTTTAAATAAAAATGATGACTTCTTCCTATGATGGCATACTGACGGGTTAGGTATCTTGCAATATTGACAAGTTAGGAAAATCTTTTTTTTTTCTTCATAAAAACAACAAATTTGTTAATGAAGTAAAAAACAATTTTTTCTTCACTAATAATTTTTTGGTTCAAAAAACACATAAAACGCAATATCTTTTATACGCATGCGCAAAATTTAACACTGCTGCTATATAGCATGACAAGGTAAATTAGGATGATTACGCGTAATTTCTGGCATTTCTGAGGAAAGACTCTAAGGTTAAATGAAATGATTAAGTTACCCTTGATGCTAACCAACTTCATCCTCCCCTATGCCATCATAGGAGCAAGTTGCCAATGATCATACTTGTGCTTTTTTTATAAAAAGAATAACTAATATAAAAATAAAACAGATGAAAATTCCTATGGTTATTTTAGTTCTATATGCAACAAAGAATATATCCATATCAAAACCTTTGTTCTTGGTCTTCAGGATACTAAATAATTAAGTTTCAAAGTTAAGTATGCCATCATAGGCGTCTTTCCCCTAATAAAAACTTTTTTAACTCCGCTTATTCTTAAATTTTATTTTTCAGATTTGTTTTCTTCTTCAAAAGCATCCACAACAATTTTTAGGAAGCTTCTCCACTATCTAAAAAAACTCTTACAAAATCTATGTCTTTGTACCTCTTTCTTTAATAATACGCAGGATTTAATCAGAAGGATTTTTAATATATACTAAATCTGTTATGATAGCATTATTCTGGTTAGAAACAAATTCAACTTAAAATATAAAGTCCATCTAGTTGTTTATTATGATTATGTAGTTTTTGAACTACGTTCAACAGAGTTTCTTCCATTTAATTCAGTTCTAATTGTAGAACAAATTTTTTTTGTTGTATTGTCAGAAAATTTATAGAAGACATGCAGTTTCATTAGTGTTTGAAGAAAATCTTGTTTGCCACTTCTGTTACTCTTTAAATTGGGAGCTCTAACTCTATAAGAGATTGATCTTAGCTCCAAAATCTTTAAGAGGTTGATCTTGGTGTTTTTTGTTTAAATGCTGTTCTGCATATTCTCTTCATTGTAAATAGTGGCCATTAAGACAACTTAATTTGCCATTACAACAACAGCAGTAGCAGCTTGTGTTTACTGATGAGAAAAGCCTCGTCCAGTAACAAGTAATAAATCCTTCATACTTATACATTTTTAGATTCAGTTTTTGGTTCAGTAATAATTGGATACACTTGGATCTGAAGATCACTTTTTGAATGTAAATAAAGAATGGCCACTCTTGAGAAGGTATAAATTTCGTTTACAATTAGCAAATGATATTAGGAAAAGTTATAATATTTTATAATAACATATGTAGATTTTGTAATAATTTGTATTCGGGTGGTGACTTCTGATAGCGATTTAGATCTAGCACTTTTTTCAACCAAAAATACTGCACAAAATCACGTAATAAACTGTAATGTCCAGCATAATATATTTAGTTTTTGTTTAATGAATCCGGACAGTTTTCATTAATGGAAAAGCGCTCTGATGTTTCAATTAATTGTATAGTCCAATTTTTGGTTTAGTATACTAAATTTTTAACAGTAACTTGTTAAAACGAATTTAAATTTTAGTTTAAATAATTGTCCAGGAAATTAAAAGGTGCTTTGTAAATTTTGGAGTGCAATTTAATTTTACTCATTTTCACACTTTATATAAAAATTGGTTTGACAATTTTAGTGCCGGATCAAGGGGAGGGGGGAAAGGGGCTAGGGGGGACATAGCCCCGGGTCCCGCAAATTTAGGAGCCCCAAAAAATTTTAGAAGACCTTTTTTATTTATTTATTTTCATTTTAAAGTCATTTTTAGGCTCTGGCCCATAAAAAGGCCTTCAAAAACAAAAATAGCCCCGGGCCCCAAGAAGTCTTAATCCGCCACTGGACAATTTCACTCTGTAAGTGCACTCATGGTTTATTCATAAATAGAATTCTATTTATTTTAGTTTCACTCTGCAAATGAAACTAATTCTAATTATGAATAAACCATGTTACTATAATGATAATAACAATTTATTAGTAAAAAAATCTCAGGCAATTTGGGATTTTTTCACTGATAAATTATTGTTAAACTCTATTAACATAATATGCTCCCTGGTCCAAAGTGTGAGATACCACAGTTCAAATTTGTCCCTGGTCCAAAGTGTGAGATACCACAGTTTGCCGCTTTTCATCAGAGGAAGAGGAGGCAAAGAGGAAAATTTTTTTGTTATATTTTAAAGAGTAAAACAGGTCAATATTTAATAACTTCGAATAATTTTATTTTACAGAAAAAATGATTTTAAAATGTCTTTTTCAACTTGAAGAGAATTTTGAGTTTAACAACCTACTAATTAAATATAGCTCAAAATACATAATATTTTGAGTTATATTTAATTATATACTAATTAAATACAGGTCAAAATATAAAAGTTTTTAAGTTGTATTTAATTATATTCTAATAAAATACAAACTTTATTTGACTTTTTAATAAACTTTATTTAATCAAAAAAAATAATAATAATAATATACCCTTACATTCAAGGAGAATGAAACTTGTTAGTCGATTGGTAACTAAACAAACAATTAATTAAAAATAGCAACCAGGTGAATAATTAAAAAATTATAGAAACAACAATTAAAAAAATATTAATTTAAGAAAATTTTTACTCATGATATTATTGAGTCATTGAGAACTGCAATAAACTCAATAATTGTCTTTTGTGATTCAATATGTCGCATGCATGTTTGACAAAGCCAAACTGATAAACGTTTTAAATTTTCACATGTTTTAATTGATGCCATTGTATGCTTTTATTAAATGGGTTTATAGTCTCTATGGAATTGCTAATATGAGTCATTATAATAGATTAACCTTTAATAATAAAAATTTACTTCAATTATTTATATAGTATTTTATA